GGAAGATAATATAATTCCGTAAGCCTGGTTACTGAACCTGATTGAAAAACCGATGCTCAAATTACTACAAATGCCGATTTGAAAAACGTCCGCCGATAGCTGCAGCGATTAAAATTCCACGGCCCATTGCTCCTACATCCGCCTCACTGGCGCCAAATCGATGTTGGCCGTAGCCCTTTCCAAAGCATTGCAAATTACCAGCTAGCGTTTAAGAAAAAACTCCGATTTCTTGAGCAACTTAACTTTATCGAATGTTGCCGAATAAACTACATTACGTTTATTCATGAATTCCTGCGCTTCGGGGTATGACATTGTCGTTCCCCTATCCTCACGTCTTGGCAATGGATTATTATAAGGGTTAATGTGAAAAGGATTTCGTGGATGTGGGTTGTTAGCCGAATCAACATAATGATTTAAATAATTGGCAAAATTGTTCCAAATCTCAAACAAGTTCGAATCAGACAAAACAATTTCATTATTAATATGCTCTCTAAGAATAGTCGATAACTCTTTGTAGTAAGCTATCCTTGGCAAATTTGGCATACCTTTAATAATTTCAATTTCTAAACTACTGTAGTGATCGTACATTAACGCCTCACGGGTCGCATTATACTTACTAAGAAACAATTCAAGATCAGAAATATTTCTACGAAATATATTTCTTGCACTTTGCTCTCGTTCCCTATCGCTTTTATTCATATAACCTGTCTGAATCTCCGAGTTTTGATTCTGTTTATTCAAAATATTGATTTCCTGAGAAATTTTATCTATTAGAGAATCTTGCTTTACTACCAATTTTGTAACTGTGTCAATTAAGGACCTATCTTTCTCTACTCTCTGGGAAACCTTCAAAGATTGATTACCAATTTCATTCGCTTTACAGCCAAGATATACTGAAGCCAGAACACCAAAAAACGAGAAGAATACTGATATCCTGTTCCATAATCGATCGCTTTTTTCTAAGCGAGTCTCCTTTCTTTTAGTAGCAGAATAACCCTTTCTTTGTATAAAAAAACTCCGATATTTTCTAGGCATTTTAAAGTAATTTAATTGACGCTATCTCTAGCAGAAAAGCATATTGTCGACACAAACCTTTTCTGAGGAAAATAAGGCCTTAACAAAAATCGGCACTACATACGGTTACGGCCAACGGGCACGGCTTGCTGATGGGCTGGATTTCTGTATTCTGTCAGCCCGGTTACTGAACCAAGTTAAAGCCGTGAACTTGAATTCTTAAATAGTCTGAGTTTTGTAATGGTCGCCCAAGTAGCAAATGCTGATTAGAGATTTGCTGACCATTGTTCCAACGTCCTGCCAGCCTATTAGCAAGCCGCTTGTTGTGTGCAGACGGTTAATACTTTAGTACTACAGATTTTATGAATTCGTAGGTATTGTCCTTTTCTTTTACAATTGTCATAATAAAGTCTTGCTTTTTTTCTATTGTTGTCAGATCTATTTTTTTGAAATCCTCTGGGTCAGTATAAGCAAATTTTCCATCATAGATGCCAATTATCATATTTTCAGGCTCTCTCCTTAGCTGAATTTTATTGTCAACAAAACGCATTATGCCGTTGAGAGGTTTATAAATTACTGCGATGTTTGACAGAGATAGTGTGTCTCCATTTTTGTTTTTAAAAACAGCCACCAGAGAAAGGCTATTTTGAAAAGCAATTCTATCGCAGTTCCAGACCCCAAAACCGTCAATTGCAAAGCTGTTGTAAAGGGAAACACCTTTTATCTGTTCTGCGTTTGCCTTATTACGTTTTTCAATTTCTTTATTTCTGGCCACAATTAATGCATTCAATCTTTCAATTTCTTTGTTTTTCTCAACTATAAGGATATTTTGTAGCGAATCTCTTAGATATTTGCGCTTTTTGACTTCCTCCGTCGCTGTGCGCATTTTCAAGTATCGTTGATAGTCTTCATTGCTTTTTTCAAACACTTTTAGGGCTTTGGTATAATCTACGCCCTCAAAGACCGGCCTAACCAAATAGGTAATTTGTTTTGTGGAGCTTTTGAGAGATAGTTTGAAAACGCCTTTTTGTTTGCTTTTTTCAAGAGTCACAGTGTTCCATTCGGTTTCCAGGTCTTTTGGATTGAATTTTTTCTCAGAATGGTCGAGCTGAAATTTCAGGTTATCATATACTAACAACTCTTTCACTGACGATGGGTCGATAACCATTTTTAGAATTGGGTCTTCACTATTTGCTTTGTCGGGTTTTAGTGGTTCGGTCAGGTCTGTGTCATTTGCGAAACTTTGAGATGGGGCTAGACTTTTATCTTTCGGCTTTGTTAAATCTGAGATAAGAGCGCGGCCTCGGTATTCCCACGTTCTTTTACTGGAGTCAAGATAATAAAGATTTGTATTGTTTATGAGCTTTGATGTTGCAAGGAAGATTTCCGGTTGACTTTTGGGATTTACATATACAGGTTTCCCATTTTGATATGCAAGTATCTCACACATGCCTGAGGATTCAAAATTGAACATCTGTCCTGACGAGTCATATGACATTGGTATGTCTGCTAAATAGAAGTCAAGAGGAGATTCAAATTCTCGATACTTAATTTGAATTGTTCCCTTCAGAATGTTGCCGTCTTTATCGACAAATGCGCTTGGCGGAAATAATACTATACTGCCAGTTTTATGAAATATTGTGTCAGCATATTCTGCGTTTAGGGAAAAGCTATCGTAGGGAACGGTGACTCCCGGTAGAGGAATAGAGTTTTCAGGTGCCTGAGGTACGCTTTCGATAGTTTGTTTTGACCCTTTTGAACTTTGCTCGCAACTAGTCGCTATAAAAAATATTAGCGTGAGTAGAATTGAGAATTTTTTCGTCAATTTAATAGTTTGCACTTTCGGGAAGTTTTAGTTTGTAGTTTGCACACAACTCTTAAATATACGCTACTCCCATCGCCAAATGTTTATAAACACGTATGGTCGTTTAATTAACCAACTACTTACAACCGGTTACAAACGCTTACCTTGACTTGCGGGCAGCCATACCTTTTAAAAATACTCCATCCTCCAGAAACGCCCAATTATTTTTGAGACTGGTTGGGTTGAGCAAATTCAAAAAGTGAAAAGGAAACAGGAGGACGACCCACCTATTCCAGCAAGAGTGAAAAAGAAAGAGGAGGACGACTCTTCTATTCCAGTAAAAGTGAAAAAGAAAGAAGCCGACGACTCTCCTATTCCAGCAGAAATGAAAAAGAAAGAGGAGGACGACTCGCCTATTCCAGCAAAAGTGAAAAAGAAAGAGGAGGACGACTCTGCTATTCCAGTAAAAGTGAAAAAGAAAGAAGCCGACGACTCTCCTATTCCAGCAGAAATGAAAAAGAAAGAGGAGGACGACTCACCTATTCCAGCAAAAGTGAAAAAGAAAGAGGAGGACGACTCTTCTATTCCAGTAAAAGCGAAAAAAAAGCCGGTTGGGCGAAAACATTTGTTTTCGCAAGTCTTTCTACTTCAATAAACTAACCCGCCTGTGCGCGGTAATAAAAATATATTTTCGGAAATTGATTGAAATTCAAAAAAAAGGATTAAACTTTGTATTGATAATTACAGGTCAGCTGTAATAGCGTTCCTCCCGGACGCACGTGATTCGGGTTCTTCTTCTAAACATACTGACCGCCGGTGCTACCGGTTTTGTAGATGGACTTTATACAATAAACTTCCAACAGGACTTATCATCTCTTCTTGAAAATTGCTGGTCGGTGAGACACCGCACCAGGCAAAAAGAACAGTTTAAAAAGATTTCTCCGCACGGAACATGCTTATTACAGCAAACGCCACTGGTAGATGAACCAGTAAGTCAGGTTTTACACAACGGCAGCCACCACTAAGATCAAGGCTTCCTGTAGCTGGCCACTACGCGATTCCCCTTTGTTCAGTTATCAACCATGCCGGTAAAATACCGGCAGAAACAATTATTAAAACAATTTAAAAAACAAAGTGGCTGATGCCCCAAACTCATTTATAGAACGGATCCTTCTATTGAATGGGTTCAATCCCCCTCCACCGGAGGGGTCGGGGGAGGCCAAAAAAACAAACATTTAAAAACAAAATGAAAAAACAATTTTCAAAAAAAAATTACAAATCATGAAAACAACAAAAATTACAACAAGCTTTAGTAAGCTAAGCGACGGTCAACTGCAAATACTTGCACTTGCCGTAGCCACCGCCATGAACGGCAACACAAACTTTCCTGAACCCAGCCCTGCCCTGGCAGATCTGAACAACGGCATTCATCAGTTCGAAAACGGACTGTCACTTGCCAAAACCCGCGACAAAGTAAAAGTGGCGGTTAAAAATCAGCTGTAGAAGCTAAGATTTGATCTGACAAATGAGGTTAACTTTAAGTAACCACACTCTTAATTAACCTCAAAATGTCAGATCATGAATCAGGAAACTAAGTTAATCAAAACCAAGTTAGGATTACTCAACCTGGCCGAGCATTTAGGCAATGTATCACATGCCTGCAAAGTAATGGGCTACAGCCGCGATAGTTTTTACAGAATCAAACAGTTGTACGATACTGGTGGCGAATCTGCCCTCCATGAAATCAGCCGCAAGAAACCGATTCTTAAAAACCGGGTTGAC